TTTTTTTTTTTTTTTCCCAGAAATTGTATTTTTGAAGACAACCAAAAGGAGAATGTATTCTGGGTGTGGCTGCATGTGATTTACCCAATAGCCAAAGTGGGGGGGACGCTGAAGGGGAAAGACAGAGCGTTTTCTGCTGAAGGGAGTGGAAGCTGAGGGCTGCAGTAAGTGATGGGGACCCTATCTATTCTCTCAGTGCTCCTCTAAATAACTTAAAAGTAGAAGAGAATGGAGGGAGATAATGTGGGGAAAACTTTTCTTTGCATGCTCTGTGTGTGTGTGGAGTGGGGCTTAGCCACCTGGATGAGAAAAAAGGATGGGGACTGGAGGAAGGAGACAGAAAGAGGAAGAAAGCGGGTGATGTTATAAGTTCAGTCCAGAATATTTCTGAAACATCTGGAAAACTAGCGAGATGAGGAGGGAGACAAGAATGAGACTGGGAAGACCAAATGGTCTTGAGAGGGAAATGGGGGCAGCAAGCAAAGTTTCTGTGCTATAGGGGAGTGTATTCCAATTCCTGCCTTAGCTTTGCTCTGACTGCTCTCTCCTCCACTCCACAGGGATGAAGAACTCTGGAACCTGTATACTGTTGTGTCTCTTGGCACTCTTCTTGTCCCCAGCTGGTGAGTCCGTATGCCAGGGGGAGGATTTCTTCCCCATCTGGGCCCCACAGAATTTCCTACACAGACTAATATGCAATGACCTAAGAAGAAAGACAGAGACATGTAGATGGGTAGTGAAAGGGGAAGTACCGAGCAAGAAAGACAAGGTGGATATAGGTCTGTAAGGAAAAAATTAGAAACTGGAAACAGGTTCTCATCTGTGACAGTCTCCAGTAAGTACTGGGAGTCACAAGAGGCAGAGGTCCACAGCCTCCACTTCAGGGATGTTTATGTAAGCAAAACAACCAGGTCAGTTTGAGAAAGAGAGTTAGGTGTGCTTTGTGCTTACTGGTGTACCACCTGTGTGTTCAGGGCATTTCCTAGTGCTCCACAAAATTTGTTCTGTCATAGTTATGATATATTTGCTGTCACTAGTGGTTCCTGCTGGAATGACCCCATTTCAGGCCGCTCAACTGCTGGAAGGTTTTGTAGTTCTTTGTAGAGCTGTTTTGAGAAACCTAACCTCTGTAGTTCAGACCACTTTTTGCTTCTGGTGTTGGTGAATGTTGTTACTCTGTTTTGTTGCTCCACGATTCTGTTTGCTTGGAGCTATTTTGGCAAAAATTCAGGTGGGATAAAATTTGTTTAAAACAAAAAAAAGAAGCACAGAACCCCCAAAACTAGAGGACAGCATCAGACATTATAGTTGGAAGACTCAGGACAGATAGCGGAAGAAGATGAATTTCAGTGAATGGATAAAGCTTCGTCCAGGAAAGACTC